ATTTTACAGATATCATTTTGTTTTCATTTGACATTAATTCACAACCTCTGCCGGTTGTCTCTTTTATGAAAATCAATAAATTTTGGTACGCAAATATTGAATTTTGTATTTCCCGCTCTTTCATTCTTGTTTCATGTCAAGTCTGTGGATTTCTAGACATGTACAGGGTGATCTAGCTGTACTTCTTTATAAGAATCTTCCTGAGATGTTGTGAATATCTCTATCCACTGTTGTTATTGAGTCTTTTTTATAACAATACTAGTACTATGTTGCTGTATCGCTGCTGTTCCAATGTTTTGACAGAATCAGAATCAACGAACTTGGGCGTGCGCAGCGTTATAGAACAGTGCTTTCAAAAAATTGTTCTACAGCGCTATCTAGTGGCGAGTTACAGAAAATTGATAGCCTAAAAACCTTCTCTATGAAAAATTACTCATACATGTCAAGTTTCATCACGATCGGTTGAGCGATGTAGAAGTTTATCACTTACCAACCAACCAACAAACATCCATTTTTATATATTAGATAACATTTTCCGCACAAGGACTGTTGATGAATGATACAATGTAAGACTAATGGTTTTGAACCACCAACATTTTCTACAGCCTTTGACACAAGTGCAATCACTCCTTTATTTTTACCATACATATTTTTGACTCCATCAGTTGTTATAGATTTCAAATTTCTCCATCGAAGGTTCTTTTTGGCATTTTCAACTCCCTCAAAAATATCTGCTCCAGTTGTCGTGACGTGAATACTATCAATATCAAGAAGTTCTTCATACACTTCATAGCTTTTATCTACTCCGCGAATAAAAATCAACACCTGAGCAGTATCTGACACATCCGTTGACTCATCCAATGCTAGGGAAAACCACTCATGATGTCCATTTTTGTCATACAGTTGAGATGATATATTTTCTGCGATGTCTTGCACCCTCCGAGCCACGGTGTTTGCTGACAAACTGACACTTTTAAATAAATTTACCTTTTCGGGCATATTTCTTCGGCTACTGCAATCAAGCATTCTTTTATCATTTCTCCGTCGGTGACTGGTTTGCCACGTTTTCCGATTTCAAGAGCCACACGAAAGCTGGCGCGAGTTGCAGACTCTTGTTCAGTATTCGCTTTGGTAAACAAAGATTGCTGCGATTTGAGTCCGCGTTTTAAAGCTTCAAATTTTTCCTTCCGCAAACTTCACGTATACTTGGAGTAACTTTGAAGATGTTTCAATTCATAGTGTCGTTTAATGTTATAGTCTTTGAGAACAGCTATGGTTTCATTACAAATTAAACATGGCGCCTTATTACTGGACTCAATCACAAAATACTGAAAGTTCCATTTTTCTTGGAACGTTCTTCATTCACTGTCTATTTTTCGCTTCTTTTCCATACTAACAAATCACACATAAAAACAATAAGGTAAATCAAAATACTTTTATTGACGGGTGTTACTTTATTTCACAATACAGTTTCGCTTCCTTCGCCTTTCCTACGCAGACTAACTCGAAGTTGCGCCGCTAGCATTTTTATATGCAATTATTACTGCCACCTTGAGGTGATCGGAATACACTAGCTAGAACCAGAACTTTCTCGAACCAACGCGGTAATTTCAAATATTTAATTACGCCTAATGCCACCTAGCGGGTAGCTGAAAAAGATAGTACATAGTACCACTACTCGCCACTAGATGTCGTTAAGTGTCACAATACACAATAATAATTGAAATGCAAAAAGGCGTAAGTCGCACTTTGCGACTATTCTAGTCTAGAAATATAGTTAAGGGCAGAAATTGGCCCTTGGAATAAACTGAAAAAATCATTATGATCCGAAGACTTCAAAGTTTGGAGACCCCTGTATTAGATGATAATGAAAGTAATGGTTATTCATCAATAAAATCTTTCATTGATAATTTTGTGTATGTACATATATTATAGCTACCATAAGCAAATTGTTATTTTTGTAAGATCAAATAATAAAACTAATAATATACATACACAAAATTAGTATCACCATTTTTAAGCCACGTTTCACATAATAAAATAATATTACGTGCTTGGTGGTTAGATTTTTATAGTGTCTTATCTTTTTTCGTCCGTCGAACGGTTTTTGAGGTAGAAATTAAAATGCATTCATTTGTTTGTCCCTTATTCGTTTTTTTTTGTCTTATTCTTAATTTCACAATTGTGGTAACCAAATAATCTAGGCAATATTTTTATAAGTTTTTGATTATGATTTTTATACTATTTATAGTTTTTGTAATGAGTATGGATAAAACAAGGTTTTTTATTTCTGAAAACAAAACTGTTATGAACAAAAAATACCAAAATCCAATTACCTGTTCAAAATGTCTGCCTACTGCGGGTATGAAGATACACCTCTCCTGTTGACTCAAGTACTCCTTTGATTCAAGTACTCTTTGGAAAATAGAGTTGAAATTTTAATGAAGAAAGATAAATGGAACTAGTTACAAATAAAAGTGGCAAAAAACATAGAAAGTTCCATTTCTCTTTTCTTCATTATGATTTCCTACCACGTAGTAACGGCTACACCCATCAATTTATTTAGAGTTGAAATTGTTATAAAATTCTGAATTTTCTCGTTCTTTTTATGAGTATCTGCGTGCAATTTGATGCTTAGGCATCAAAAATGTTACTTCTATGATCGATAAATGTCACTAAAATTGATGTTCAATGACAATCGGAGAAAACGTATACTTTTCGAGAGCATATAATTGAATTTTGAAACTGCTAACATCAATAATTGCCCTGATAAACGGTGAGCATTGTTATAATAGGATCAATAAAATTTAATAGGATAAAGAGGGGATTTCCTGTGAAATTTTATAGTGATACTTTTTTATTGATAACTTTGTATAGTGTTTCACGTGAACGATATTTGTTTCAGTTTGGTTCACAAATTGTCAAGGAAACCATTATGTTTCAGTAAATTGATGGATGTTACCGTTACTACGTGGTAAGAGATCAAAATGGAAAAAAGAGAATTGAAACTTTTTATGTTTGTTTGATAGTAGTTGACATGTTTGGACTCATCAACATAACATCAAGTGGGCTCAAGCTGAAATCATCCACAAGGAGGAACACTGATTTAGGAGAAAATTCAAAGAAGCCACATATATGTTGTCCAACAATGCATTTAGCCAAGCTAGCATAGAGATACGCAACATATAGAAACCTCTAATCAAGCGGAACACGACCAACTGCCGCGAAACGGTCAGCTTTCGCTAAAACCGATGAAGCGGAAAGAGGGAAGAGGGGATAGGTGAAAGCACTCAAATCACCTACAAATTGGCAGATCTCGGAGGAATAAGTCTAGTTTAGTTTCAGATCAGAACACTCGACATAGCTGAAAGTCTTGAGGATAGTAGACTTTGCCACAGAAGGCTTTAACCTAGGCAAAGGATACAACACCGGAGCGATCTTCTTAGACATCCCCAAGGCGTTTGACAGAGTCTGGCACGATGTACTTCTGGCCAAAATGATCAACCTTGGTTAAAGAAACCAAATTAATCGAGTCTTTTCCAGCTGACAGGCGATGCCGCTGCAGAGTAGGACAAGAACTCTTCACGATACGATTACTGCAAGCAGGGGTCTCACAAGGTGCAGTCCTTTCGCCACACCTCTTCTCGGTATACACAGTAGACGTGCCCAAGTCAGAGAACAACTTTAACAAGTTGCGCGGAGGACACAGCTCTGCTGGCGACATCAACAAGCCATGCGCACGTCACCAGATACCTGCAGCAATAGGTAGATATATAAGAGGAATGGGCCAACCTGTGCAAGATCAGTATAAACCCTGATAAGAGTCAGGCAATACTGTTCACCCGAAGGAGGGTACACTCGGAAGGAAATATCATCTTCAACGGACAAGAGATTCCGTGGACCAACGAAGCTAGATACTTGGGGGTCAACCTAGACGAAGGATTAACTTTCAGGTCTCACGTACGGCAGAGAATAGGAATGGCGAGATCTGCCCGACAAAACCTATTACCAATAATAGGTCGAAGAAGCAACATGGGACTGAAAGTGAAGCGGCTGATGATAAATACCGTAATACTACCGATAATCCTGTATGCCTGCACTGCTTGGGGCCAGTGCGCAGCGACATACAGAAGACAGATCCAGTCGTTTATATGAACGCGTGCGTAAGGGCCGCCGTAAACGCTCCAAGATATGTACCGAATAGGTACATATTTTGGGATCTAGACCTGAACATACACTACGTGGACGCATGCAATAATTTAGATAGGAAAGTCATGATAAAACAACTTAACAGGTCGGAAACTAAAAGCACCTAGAGGATGATATTCGATCAAAGAAGGTCAGATGTCAATCTTGCTGAAGTGCCCATCAGTAAGTTGCTGAAGTGTCCATCCACCCCGCTTCCGGAGGAGCGGGGGTGGATGGACGAGATGGGGTGTTCTGCACACATTACCGTGTGGGGAACATTTCAACTCAGGGCACTCAACCCGGGATGGGGCATGGAGGGGGAATAAGTCCAGTTAACACCCGATGACGAACTTTATTTCATTGTGATTTCAGTTTTTTTTTGCTTAATATAATTGTTATTTTTTCAGCTAATCTCTTCTTAATTTTTTACAGATTCTTATCGGTATTTCAAATCAATTTATATCATATTAGACAATGGAAATCCGATATAATGAAATGAAACTCTCTATATTATTTGTATAAGTTTGTAAGATGTTTTTATAGGACGAACTGCAGTTAGTAACAGATAAAAGTGGTAAAAAACAGAAAGTTTCAATTCTCTTTTCTTCATTATCTTTTAGTTCGATTTTTTTCTTCTCCAGTTTGTATCTCAATAAAATGTCTTTGAATCATGTAGATATTTTCACAAAGGGTACTGATATGTTTTCTCATTCTTCATTTCTGGAGGAGTGAAAAACAAAACGGTGTTTTCACTTATTTTATTCTTTAATAATAATAATAAATAAACAATAAACAAACATTCAAATATAACAAACTAAAAATAAATATTATTGAGAGAGAAATTTAAATGTATGGACCAACACTGCTGCACTCATGATCAGGATGGTACTAATGAAAATTCCAGCTCCAGCAGACTTTTCAGACCTGTAGAAAATATCAGAAATTATAAATCAAATTTTTTTAAAAATTTTTCACTGCGTCAAATAACGTGTGTTTCACAAACAGAGGTTGACGCGCAATCAGAGGAGATCATCCTACGAATATGCTAACTTGGTTGGTGAAACGCGTTTCTATAAAACTATTACCAGTTTTGTCTGTGGTGAAGTGTTTTCTTTGAAATCATTCTACGAACAGAGGATTTAATTCTATCTCAAAATTCAAATTTTGTATATGCCAAATTTGTCGTAACAATTCTATGTGGATGTTTTCAAGGGAAACTACTTGTTGAAATATAGATCTAATCATGATATTACTTCAGTACTCAAAGTAAAAATATATTGTTTCGAAATGATGATATAAAATTAACAAATAGTGTAGTTGTTCAATTTGTAGTTGAACGAGGTCTGTTCAAAAAATTAGGTGAATTTTCCTTTTTCTCAAAGAATACTTATTCATTTATCAATTCCTATTATGTCCCCTTCAAAGTAGTCCTCCTCAAATGGAGGAGGATTGGGAAAAACGCTTGCCAGCGTTTTTCCCAATCTTCGAAGGAGTTCTGATTCGTCACCAGTTATGACCCTCCTAAGCAAATCTGTTTCACCGTTGACGTCATTCTACAATTCCTGAGTGAGGCCCATGCAACGGTTTCTTTGGTCAAAATTCAGCAATTTTGGGATGAACTTCGCTGCCACACGCTTTATGCCCAAAATATCCAAAAAAGTCAACCGATAAATCGGCATATCTGTGATTCGATCATTCTATGATTTTATTCACTTTGTCAACATTTTCATCGGTTGTCGATGTGCTGGAGCGCCCAGCCCCAGATCTACAGAGCTGTTGATACTATGACTCCATTTTCATCTACTTCAATTGTTTTTCCTACATATCGCACCCTTAGAATGAAAGTGACTCAACTCAAAATTCCTGTAATACTCGATTTTACCATAAACTGACCTTATAAAGCAAACTCTATAACCCTGTAAAGAAAAAGTCACCTATCTCTAAGTATAACAGGGACAGCGCATGTTTCGGTCTCTTTTACTGTTCCCGCTATTCATTTATGCATGTTGTGTGAAAGAGGCAGAACTAGTATTAAGTCAGAAGTGTTACAAAAAGTTCAAAAATAATTTTGCAATAGTGACTCAATTTGTAACTACTTTATATTTAATGTCAAAATATATATTAAAAATATTATAAATACAAAATTACTTGGCCACGGTGTACTCAAAAGGCTAATCCATAAATCTGCAAAAAATCGATCTAATGAGTCGGAACACAAAAGAGTTATATTGAGATGTATTCAATACTATACTTTTTTGAAAACTTTCTTGCTCATTTACCACAAACTGCATTTTTTGAATTCAGTCACTTTCATTCTAAGGGTGCGATATATCACTTTTCGCATTCTTAATTTATGAAATATTTACAACTGGAAAGTTTACAGATCTCAATTTGATGCTGTTTGAATTGATCTCCGGGAGGTATATGGCGATGTCACTAGAAAATTCAGGGTTTATTCTGTTGAAAATTATTGAAACTGTATCTATTATTATCGAACCACAAGTTCAACATTATATATACGTTTCAAGATACACTTCATCAAAATGTCACTGAGTCAGATCAATTTCAAAACTTAGAAACGTTGTAATAGATCTGTTATTTCTCTCTCGACCCGCCTCGGTACAATTTTATGGATAATTATAGCTGAATTTTTCATATATTGGGTTACATCATCGCGATATCCGTAAGAATCTTATTGTTTTGATAATAAAATGTAGCTTTCTATAGGTTAAAGAATTTTCAATATAAGTAGTATTTTTAAATTTCATCCATTACAAACAAACATACAAACTATCAATTTTTTTCTTTTCATAATCTTAATTCATGTAGGTAAGAACTTCGTAAAGAAACCTTTTCTCTCTCAACAGTTCTAAGTGTAAGTATTAGTTACCTACTACCGTTCAACAATTAACATTAGCCATCACAGAAATTGAAAAGTAACCATTGAAGTAAATTTTATTTTCAGACAATTATTGATTTTTTTGTTGACGAGAAAATGATTATATTCTTGCCTTCATTTTCAATCTGTTCTAGTTGAATATTGTATTCTTGTAAGGAACTGGGAAGAAGAATTTTCGACAATTTCACCCTCATTTAAAAACTAATTTTTATTTTTCAATCAATACTTACACCCGTTGAAAATTCATGAGGTATTTAGTTTTCATAATTTATATGAACAATCTATTTTATTATTCTTATTTCTACTATTACCTATTGAAGCTCCCGAAGGATTCGTTCATACAGTTCATTTCTTTAATATCCCCCACCCATTGTTTTTGAACAGGTCAACTCAAAAAATTGAAATTTGGGATAATGCAATCAATGCATGGATACTTTATTATAGGGTTGTTGAAATTGCCATATGGTAGATAAAAAGGAATATTTCTAGAAATATCGATATTAATGTGTTTGTCTTCAGGAAATTATTAAATGTTCCGCCATTTTGTAGTAGGTGAAGATATTGACATCATATTCGTCAAGAACTTCAAAAAGATGTGTCACAAGACCCCCTTTCCACTTAATTTTTTTTTCCCAGATGGTGCCCAGTCGCCATCTTGGAAGTTTCATCTATCAATTTAACTTCAAAATCAAGTATTCATACATTTATTTGCACTGTATATCTATACTTTAGCAAAATATGTCAAATTTTTTTCCCTTTTGCTTCCATTTGCTTGTATATATTTCATTATTTTCCCAGAAATTGGTCACATTTTTCGACAGTTTAGAATTATGATATATGATATACTTTCCTAAAATATTTTTTTTATAAGTTCTCTTTAATAATTGATTAATTTATGTTGTGTTATTCTGTGTTATTATCACATGAATCCATTTCTGATCATATAGTGAATATTGGTGGTATTTCAGCTTGATTATTAAAAAAGCTGAAGCTTCTCTAGTCACTGTACGGAACTCCTGAAAACAAACTCCTAATTTTCGAACAGGAAAGACCAGCTTTGATGAGACTTGAGAGGATAAAATAAAAGTGCATCAATATATTTCTGCTGCTGATAAAATTTCAAATGGCTGAAAGCAAAAATATGGGATTGCTGCACTATATTCGGAAGTTTAATGATAATATCTTATTTCAAAGATATTTCAGTAGATACCGCAGCATCTATAGGCAGGTTGTCAGACAAGCAAAACGACTTCACTATAAAAATAGAACAAAACAAATCGAAAGACACTTGGCAAGTAATTAATGACCTAAGAGGTAAATCTAATGAAGTACATGAAGTTTCACTTTCACCAAACGTTCTTAACGAATATTACTACTCTGTTGCAGAAAAATTGACTACTTAGAACGACCCTATTGAAAAATTAAGAGACCTCTTTATTTCTGAAACTTGCATTCTTTATGACACTGATATTTATGAGCTGAAACAGGTAATTGTTTCCATTGGAAAAAAGTCATCATCTGGTTACGACGACCTAACAGCAAACATTTTGAAAAATCTCCCAACTCTCAAACAACATTATTATTGTATTATATAAATTAGGAAAGTTTCCTGACTTCCTAAAGGTATCATTATTGATACCACTTTATAAAGGCGAAAATCAGGACGACCCCTTGCATTATCGACCTATTTCCCTAATTCCCACATTAGGAAAACTTATAGAAAAACTGGTCAAGATAAAGATAACTGTATTTCTTTCGAAACACAAAATCATTAATAAAGAACAGTTTAGCTTTCAAAGTGGCAAAGACATTAATGATGCAATGTTCTCACTCATGGAAAAACTTTATAGTGGAATCAATAGTGGCGAGGTTGCTGCAGTAGTATTCTGAGATTTTTCGAAGGCTTTCGACTATGTGGATCACGAAATACCGTTGCGGAAGCTTCCCTACTATGGTTTCATAGGAGTGATACTGAGCTGGTTCAGCTCATATTTGTCAGGTCGTAGTCAGATAGTGAAAACAACCCATCGCTCAGAAATTGTGAAAATACCTAATGGTGTTGCCTCAAGTTTCAATACTAGGGCCAACATTGTTTCTCATCTACCTCAACTATTTGACAAGTATACATATCTCAGGGAAATTCACACTATTTGCAGACGATACTACCATTTTTTGGCAATCGGACAATGCAAATGATTTAACTAAAGTCGTATGATGATATGATGAAAGTAAAAGAGGTGGTGTGATTCAAATCGTCTGTCTCTAAATATTTCGAAAACTAACATGGTAAATTTCAAATGTGAATTTGACAATATACCCATTGGAAATGACATAATTGAAATTGAAAACAAAAGTAGCTTACAATTTTTAGGAGTACATATCGACAGAAAACTAAATTTGAAGACCATATTTATGCCTTGTGTAATAAAGTGTCGTCTGGTTGTTATGCAGTCAGAGTAGTCGCAAATGAACTTGGTTTAACAGCAGCTAAGACTGTTTATTTTTATCCGGTGGAATCTCACCCGAGATATGGAATTCCATTTTGGGGCGTATGTAGTGGTTATCTACTACAAAATATTTTAATTTTGCAAAAACGAGCCGTAAGATATATGTGCAAATCAAAAAGTACAGACTCTTGTGGATTACTCTTTACCACTCATGGAATTCTAACAGTGATTTCTCTTTTTATAATGGAAATTAAGAAATATTTGAACAAATTTCAATCCTCACCAACCCATTATGTGACAAGGCAATCCAACAACATCAAGTTGCCAATACCAATGACGTCAGTCAAAGGATTCCATTGTCTATAATGGTTGTAAAATGTTCATTGCCAAAGAAATTAACAGAAATAAAGTCTTTACAATGCTTCAGGAAGGCTGTGAAAGGTTTTTTAAGTGATAGACCATACTATAATATACAAAAATTTTATAATGATAATCTTTATTAAAATATCTTATTTGTTTATTATTTATCAGCATCCTGTACGACTCATACGTTTTTATATATACAAAAAATGTACTCATTTGTTATTTTCCAGTATCCTGTATGACTTATGACTCTTATGGCAATAAAGTATATTCTCTTTCTCTCTCTGTCTCTCTTAGTACAAAATAATTTTGATAATTTCGACAACAGTCGTAGAGGACTTGTGTTTTGCTGTGTATTATTAAAAAGTGTTAGGAAGTAACACAAATGACTATTTTTTTCGCAAATTAAAGAAATATTTTTCTCTGTATTACAAAAGTAGCTACGTCAGCTCCAGCCTGACTGATGAGATGGGCTTTATGAAAAAGTAGAGAGGGGGTGAGTGTGTGTTATAAGTGGCAGACTATCTCAGCTGATCGATTTTAAGAATTCTCTATTTGAACATTAGAATTGTTACTACTTTAGCGTGAACTTAATGCTACAATAAAGCAGGTGAAATGCACATTCAAGAACTTTTCTGTTATTCGTCCAATTTGATGGAAAATAATAGTCTATGCTAGTAAATGTCGAAGGTAGTACTTTCGGAATGGTTTTCGGTTTGGTCTGGTCTTGTCTGTTGGACATCTGGATAGAATTTCAATATTTCATTTCAAAATGAATTAAACATCCAGTGTGGTTTCATCTTGATTTTGTGTCGTTCACTACATACTTATTTTAATTATGAATGCTTGAAATATAGATAGAAGTTCTGTTCAATTATTCGGAATCTTTTTTGTAATACTATTGATTTATTTCAATACTTCACTTATGAGTCACTAATATTTCACATGCAGGAAGCGTGAAGAAGTGCATCAATGAAAAAATATTCCTACTAGATTTTTTACATTCAATCAATTTGTTTATTTGATCAACAATATGAGGCATTACATTTAATTTTACTGTCAATTAGTTAACTTAGTGATTGGATGTCGACGGTTTATGTTATTTATTTATTTATTGACGAAATACACACAGGATAACCAATTGCATGACATCCTTACTTGAAAATAAAGCAAACTTATGCCTAAACCTAAATCTAATGTTTTTTTTTTTCATTTTTTCTTTACTTTGAGGCTTGAGGAAAAAATTACATTACTATGTATCTCCAAGTGGTACAAAAAAATGGAAAATGTATCCTACTCATATTTCAGTTGTTTCAGACGAAGTGGCAGAGAATTTTTATTACCAATAATTGAATAATTTTACACATATTTTTCAATAAATGATAAATGTATCATGTAGTAACATCACTATATTCTAAACCGTAACAGATACGAAGACGATTAAATGAGAAAAAAAGTAACTGTCATTGGAAACAATACAATGGTCGAAGAAAATTTATGGAGACTCTCTCTCTTCTCGAGTTATATGGGGAAAACTAAAAATGTTGTTTTTATTTTTTTCAAATGGAATAGTTATTTCGGAGAAAATAAATAATGGAACAAAAGTGTTATTGTATTCGAAGTGTACTATGACAATGTAATAATGATTATTATTATTATTATATTTTCGTGTCAACATGGCCACCATCAACTTTTTTTTAATACGGACCTGTCTTTTTTATTACAGATATTGATAAAGCGATAAATTCACAATCCAAGGGTATATCACATTTGATAGTTTTATAGCGTTTCATTTGAAATAACTACCATCATCAGTGACAATAATTTTAAATTACGGTCCTGTCGTTACTTCTTTTGTAAATTGTTTGGATTCCTTCAAAATATAATTCAGACAACCCAACAAATTAGACAGGTAGGTTCCCTAACACAATGAAAATTCCTACTTTTTCGTTTTGGAAATTTTTGTATTGCCGTAATCCTTCTTTCAAGGCTTATTTCTTCCTAATCAATAATCATTCTCAATCCTGGAAGTAACGAAAATATCATTTTTTGGTCAAAATTCGATTGTTGTATAATTTGGAATGATCAAATAGCATCTCAATTCATTTACCATCTTAAATGCTTAGGCTTTTCTTGTTTTCTATGGTAGGAAAAATAAATGCGTTGTTGATATCTGTTGAGAACTGTCAGACGTTTATGAACATATCAAAGATGTAGGTATTCAAATGATGAAAGGACTGATATGTTATTTAGTTATGCAAATACAAATAGAATTCTTTTTTTAGCAAGGAATATGTATGTTGAGCTACACCCGAATCGTCGTATTTCGAACATCCAGATGCTTAGACGATTAGAAAGAAATTTGAGGGACTATGGTGCATTTGACAGAAAGAAGACAAGAAAATGTGCGGTTACTGGAAGTGTGAACAATCAAATAAATGTTATCGGTAAGCAAATATCACCACATAAAAATTAACACAGTGAAAACTTTTTTTGTTTAATTCGGGATTGGCCAGTTACAAAAATTATGCTAATCAAGATTGTTCTTTACGAGAAATTGGTCACGAAATTGGGATTTCTGTAAAATCCACCAGAACTATTTTGAAAAAGAACAAATATAAATGCTACAGGATGCGCAAAGTTCATCACCTCAATGAAAGGGATTACAGAAGAAGAATACGATTTGCGAAGTGATTAAGCCGAAGAAATAGGAAAGTTGGAAATATTTGTAAAAAATAATATGGACGGACGGATCAACATTCTCCAACAATGGTTGGTTTAACAGAAATATCCATTATAGGTGGAATAATACAAATGAACATTTAAATAGTGAAATGTATCTTCATTTTCTCTTCAATGAATTCAATGGCTACTTAGATGAATTTCCACTGAATATCCGTCATGAAATACAATGTTTTCAACAAGACGGAGCTCCTCGCCATAATGCAGCAATAGTAAGGGAATATTTAGTTGCAATATTCCCAAGAAAATGGACTGGAAACAATCTACCAATTAACTATAGCCAGCTCGATACCCAGATCTTACTCCTTTAGATTTTTTTTGTCTAGGGATACATAAAGGATAAGGTTTTTCAACACCAAGTACAGATATCAACCATCTCAAACAAAAAAATAAGAGATACATGTATTAGTATTACACCTATTGTGCTAGAAAATTGCCACAGAAATTGTCTGGACCGACAACTTATGTGCATTCGACAAAGAGGTCGTCAATTCGAGCATTCAAAAGTTCATGATAACATAAATTGTTTTTCTGTTTGATTGTTGTCACTGATGATCGTGGTTATTTCAAATTAAATGCTATAAAATATCAAATGTGAAATACCCTTGTAATGTGAATTTATTCCTTTGTCAATATCTGTAATTTGAATTCCATTCAAAAAAACGAAAAGCAGCATTTTTTGTTTTCCCCATATAACTCGAGAAGGGCGAGTGTCCCCGAAAATTTTCTTCGACCATTGCATAGTTTTTTTATAGAATTCGATATTATTATAGAAATGTATACTTTCACTGCTGTCGTGAATGTTTTGGTTGGTTTGCGGGTTTTGCCGTGGTCTTCTTTGGTTACAACCTCCAAACGTTTCAACTGCAACTGCGGCAGTCATCTTCAGTGGCGTGGTCGAAGTACTCTTCTTGACGTAGCAAGTTTATATGACAAATGTTATCCAAAGAAAAAATCCACAACTTAATAAATTATAGGCCCTGTAGAAGCTTCCCATCGAAAGCGAAAGCTTGGCAAAGTGAAGCAGAGTTTCGATTTTTATTTTTGACTTAGAGACCCCGTTAATCCATTTTTCTGTACGAGTATATACAATGTGACACACTTAACATGAAGACACCCCTGATTGTTGGGACAGGCCTAGACCTTCATGGGCCGCACGTTTCGCAATACAGCTTCGACCCAACCTGCTGCGTTCCTGCAGTAGGCTGGGTTTTTTGTTGCGGTTTTTGAATCGCCGACGCGACGTTATTAAATTTTCTTTGGCGTTTTCGTATATTCCAGTAACCTTCAGAATATGTATATAACCTTCAGGATATGTATATTTGTGAAATATTTTTAAATTCGTTTTGGAACCTGACACATGTCATGTGATTCGTAAAAATAATTGAACAAGGCATAAAAACACATATAATAGGTACTCAATATATTTGAATACTGAATAAGAAGGAAAATATGAAATATTAGCCTTTGTGAGACCAGTTCTCATATTGGAAAGTTTTGTCAATACAAAAAGCAAATGCTCATTTTTTCATCACTCCATAAATATATTTTGAACAAATCTGTGCAGCAATAAATGAAAACTAGATTCCTTTCTAATATAGCACGAAAGCATATAAGCTGAGTTGTTTCTCAAAAGTTTACAGTATGCTTGAAGCCTTTTTGACTCCGGAGATGAATACGAATAAAAATGTTCAACTCCTTTTCGAAACACAATTAGGAATTTACAGCTACAAACCGGATCCCAGAAAATATTCCTCATATATGGAAAATATGAACAAATAAACGGACAAAAACTTTAGAAACAATTTGCGAAAGAGCATCGGTGTACACTATCCTCAATTGTATTGCCTAAATGAATAAATAAATTTATATTTATTGAAACAGGACTTCACACGAAACAAATATCTTATTTACTGTATTCCAATGACTCCACAGGCCAGTCGTCCTCCAGCATTTCCAGTTAACAGGGAATCGGGATTACCTCCTTTGCCTAAGTCATCTTCTTTTTCGTGTACTACAACAGCTCTTCCCAATATATTATGCTGTCCTTCTAATGCAATGACATTATCGACAAAATTGATAACGGCAACTCCTGCTTTATCGGCTACGATATTGCCAAGATCTCCAACATGGCGTACCTTATCTTCTGGAGCTCCGTGGGTTTGCTGAAAATAATATTTTGTAGTGAATTGAAGATATATCTAACCCTGATCATTTTGTTTCTAATCACTTTTCGATCCATATTAAAAACAATTTGTGTTTGGGAAACAAGGGTTTTGTTCTTCTCCATCTTTATACAAAAAAAATATGGAGGAATCTTCCAAAAAAGAAAGAGAGCAATCATATTCGAAATGAATTTTATACAAAAATATGGAGTTCATAAAAAAAAAGTAACTTCTTCAGCACCAGTTAAGACTCTTCTAGAAAAAGAAAGAGAGCAATCATTTTCGAAATGAATTTTATACAAAAATATGGAGTTCATAAAAAAAAAGTAACTTCTTCAGCACCAGTATCCATATGCTTACAGCTACTTGCATATGTTTCTAAAGTACTTTTTTTCGTGTAATTAAATGTTTATATGAAAGTAGTTGTTTTGAAAGGACTCTTACTTCCAGTTTGTGTCTGAAAGTTATTTATTTGCATTTTTGCATCTTTGTGTAGAGTTTATTTTGGAATTCTTTACCGTCTTTCTTTGGGCAATTGTCACATTTTTTTTCCAAATGAAGAAGTAGACAGCCAAAACCTTTCTTTCCCAAAAATGAATCTCAGCTGAAAATATACCCCTTTCAATTTTCAACAATTTGTATATTATGTACGTATTATGGTGGACTTATTTTTTGTATTCTGTTCTTGTAAATCATGCCCTAAAGAAAATAACGTCTGCCGCCGCTAGTGGCCATAAATCAATTGTGACGTAACTAAGATCGCGTGCAGTTGCGACTATATTATACTTGTTAAGCCTAATTGATCCCAAAATCTCTTTATATTTGCAGAAAAAAGAGTAATTCGAACAGCAAAAATTTAAATTGGCCGCGTGTCTGTTGACCAATAAAATTGATCGTGTCTAGAGCGGAGTTGCCAAGTGTATTGGTTTTTAATATCCAATCACAGATGTGATGATCCAATTTGACAGACGCCATTTTTGTTGTTATTATTGTCAACTCGGTGTGAATACAACTGTTACAATTATCTAATTAAAGAACGTTTTTTGTAAAAGATACGTCTCGGCGGGTGCCTATTTTGCTGCATATTCCGTGTCATTAGTTTACATTCCGAAAAATATTTTTCAGATTATTTTTGGATTGATATGTTCTGGAGTAATTCTACATTTCACTGAACATATTTTTGCTTCTCTTTTCAGTCACCATACTGCTCCTTGGCCAAGATAAAATAAAAATTAAATCAAAACTTTCCATTCTTCGATAAAAGACAAAGTCTGAAATGAATGTCATATAAATTGTGCATTGGTTTATAAATGAGTTATTTCATATAATGAGTTCAGGTTCCCAAAGGATAAAATAATGAGAAAAAAATGGGTGGAAGTATTGAAAAGAAATAACTACAATCCTTCTACTCTTCCAAGACTCTATAGAAATTATTTAAGAAGTGACTATAAATGTAAGGAGAACGAAAATATTGAATTTGATGACACATTTTTTCATTTCAACTCCAAGTATTCTCCACACTGTGGAGTTAATACTGTTACTGAAAGTATGAAACAAAATTAATTAAATTTTATCAAATAATTAATGGCATTATTACTTCAGAAGCTTTTGTTGAATCAGTTCGTGTACAATCAATTTTGTCTATACTTGACCTCACTTAACCTTCCTCTAAAGGTAAAGGAAGATTCAACAGATTACACAAGCGAGCCTATAACGTTTGAATTTAGTAGCTATATTAGAAAGAGGTACGTATGAAGGAATCGTTTTTTTATATTAAATTGCAGTTATACAGATTGAGGATTGTAGAATAAATTGAATATTTGAAATAATTCTTCAATCCAGTTTTCTATATTTTTTGATTTTTATAACTGTATATTGATTATAATGCATAAAATCATAGTTTAGGTAAATATTTTGTGATCTATCGACTTTGTGTACTGATTTTAGATATAGAACTTATTTCCAAACATGATTTTTCGTGTACATTTTATTCCATGTGGAGAATTTTTCATTATTTGAAACGTTAACGGATTCATATACACTTCCATAATTATTATAGGCTCCGTAAATTTTACGATTTGGCAATGTTGATTATTTCTATTGTTCCTATTGGTCAATCGAACACCACCACATTCGATTTTCACTAATTAGTTACGGGAAAATTACGGTACTTAGAGAGATGAAACAAAGTGCACTGTTTTTCAAATTAAAATTTCTATCAAGTGAACTATAAACAAAAAAATCATGAATCAAGCCCATTATCTATCAACGATATATAAATGGGACCCACTCGCATATCGGGGAAGTCAAGTTTAAGTGACAGTGCGGTACGAGGCGATCTAATAAGGCGATAGACCTTCGAATATTCGTTGAAATTTTGGTTGGAGTGTTTTGTTGTATAAACAGTGAAATAAAGTTGAGTTTGATTATTATACAGTGTAGTCAGTTATTGGTTAACCCATGGTGAAAACGTAACATCATGAATTAGAAAAAAATTAATGGCAATGAAGATATTGTGGCAAGATGATGACCTATGGCGATCAAGAACTCTACCCTTAATTTAGCATCAATGCAACGACGCGACATAATGTAACCATAACCAACAAGAGGCGTACGGAGCGAGAGGTACCGGGATCGGTGCCTGGCGCATCCACCAAATTTGTTACAACTTCGGTTTGGGGTGACTCATGGGTAGCCTTATGAGGGGAATAACATGAGGGAAACACCAGAATACTTAGATACTAGGTTAATTGCCTAGGAGTTGTACAAGGGGGTCCTACCCCAATCAGGTCTTACTAACAACTGTCTTATTATAATACATCATCATCAAATATAAAACATGTTGACATCATCAAAACTATCAAGTCGAGGAATCAGCTACCGCGGTCCCTTCTCGCTCCGTACGCCTCTTGTTGGTTATGGTTACATTATGTCGCGTCGTTGCATTGATGCTAAATTAAGGGTAGAGTCCTTGATCATCATAGGTCATCATCTTGCCACAATATTATATGTCTATAACGTGAGTTTTGATGTACTGACAATATTCGACAATATTTATCTTAATATTCCCAAAATTAAAGTATGCTGATAATCGTCGAATGAATATGTAATTATAAAATTATCTATATCAATAATTTATCTATTATAAATAGTGAAAGGAATCCAAATCAATTTCAAAACTACTGTTATCTCATTCTCTAAGGAAACAAATGCGTCAAATTCGTTGAATATATTTGATTTATTAATGAGATTTGTTGTCAAAGAATCATCCCACAAATACAATAATTCTAAAATGGACTGGATAAAAATTTTCATTCAAATATAGTTTCAAATCTTCTTTCAACTATCGGATTTCCAATACCAAAGGTCCACAAAACGATATTAGCTTTCTTGGCCCATTTAAATTTAATTGAATTTATCATTTTTTACCTACATTATGAGGATTGAAGTGCCCTCCGGTTCCAACACATCCTGGTGCGATGTGACCAAGTTGATGAACATGGAATCCATGTTTTCCTTCTGTCAGTCCATGTACTTCACCAGTAATCTGGATTCCATTGGAAGTTTTAGTGAAGGTGACGTTTCCTGATACTCCACTTTTACCCAACGGATCGAAGAGATATACAATTCCACTCTCCTATAACAAGAATCAACATCATTTCATCTGTGCATTTTTATATTGACATTTTGGAGGATTTCGTAGAATTATATTTCATCATGTTGAAAAATCAGGAATTGTTAAAAAATCTATGCAACTATAAAATGGGACAGATTATTATTATTTTTCAATATTAGTGCAGCCGAACAGCCGAAAACTTTAATCAGTCTTCCAGAAAATTACTTTCAAGAAATACATACAGTGCGGATATAAATACCCCCTCCTCGTAATTTCAAATCAGAGTCGAACAAAAATTGTATAGAAAGTAATTATTTTTAGTGCGTAGGATCTCTTCATTGTATGAGATATCAATACTGCCGTTGATCGAGAGTTTTTGTGAAAATATTCTACATAGTGTTTACACCATGGTATTTCTATGCCAGGGGTCGACAAGTAGTTTTAGATGGGGTCCGGTAACTGTGGGAAAATTTTGACGAGGTCCAGAAAAAAACAATTGATAAAAATTAAGTGCTATTATTTTGGTTTCAAATCAAATTCTGCATTATAAAACACAAGACCCAAAATTAATGTGAGAAATTACACCGACGGTTTTGGGCCAGTTTTTTGTAGTTTGGTTCTCGAGAGGAATAGCAAATTCGAAGTGTGTTTTTTAGGTGGGCGTCTGTTGATCTCGAACGATATTTGTTTTTCAAAAAATGAATCTTTGAGAAAGATGTATCAGATACATATGTCGACCCAAACATAGTGGCCAAATTCATAGCTAGTTTATTGCAATTTTCATATTTTTCTGGAATTTTCTGGAACATGTTTGGTCCAAAATCCTTCAGTGAATACCGTTTTATATATTTGCAAAGACACATCTTCTTGCAAATCAATTATCTCTATTTGAAGTGATGCCTCTGGCAGTCACATCTGTCCATTCTGCTGCTATATCAACTTCAAATGACGACTTAAGAAACGGAGATAGCTTGCCAATCTCTGCAAAGTCTTGGAATCTTGTAGCAAATTTATTTCTAAGATCGGCCAGAAATTTTACAAACACTGCAATGTCTTCTTCAGAGTTCTTTTCATATTAAAAAATTATCGGAATATAAATAAATTCTTGTCTTGCGATATCTTTTTCAAAAATATCCAGAATGCGACGAAAAGTAGACAAGAATTGTATCAGATCACATATCTATTTTCCATTTCCTTGTGATTCTGTGTTGAGCGTATTTGAATATTTCAAAATATCTTTCAAAAAAAACCACGACCAGCATATTAATAGACACCGGTTGGTTTTTGGGGACCCCCATGCAAAAATTCAGTTAGGAATAGTCATGACAAAACATTTTTTACCGATCGCGAAAGAATAGCACCTAAAGGCTGACTTTCGACCAAAAGAGGTCAGATGTCAATCTTGCTGAAGTGCCTATGAGTAAGTTGAGGACCGCTCGGAGAGCGGGGGGGATGGAGTCGGGTAGTAGGTTCTCCTCGCTAAATAGCTGGGGGGAGGGAGCTTCTACTTCAGGGCACTCAACCCGTGAGGGGGCATGGGAGACCAGCATATTACGCTTGTTTGTGCTGTCTGGCTCCCATCGTATCTAAGTTTTGCAAGAAGGAGGTTACTTCTTCCTTATTCAACCAGAAATTTTCAATAAATTTACTTTTACTTAGCCAAGGAACATTTTTTGTGTAACAGTAAGTCAGAATAAGCCGTGAGAAAGAAACTCCTTGAAATGTCGGTGCTGAAGAGTAAAATGAGATCTCATAAAATGAATCAACTAGACCAAGCTGTCCATCACTTATTTCAGTGTAGCACCAAGTTTTCCACAAAGGGCTGCTTGGTACATCATGCACGGATATGATATTAGACCTGACTTTTTATCCCTGATGCTTTTCACTACACCTTTTTCTTTGCCAATCCATGCTGGGGCCCCGCTAGTTGAAATGAAATTAGATTTAGTAATGAATTCATCAATGACATTGAATAAATCTTCTCTTGGAGTTAAACCTTTTAACGGCAATGTTGCTAGCAACTCTTTCTTAAAAATCTGACACTTAATATCAAGAAATCTTACGAAAATAGACATTTGTTCATCATCAACAATATCACATGATTCATCAAGTGCTATGGCGTAGCAAGGTGCTTTTTACAAAAGTTCAAGAAGAGTGTTTTTAATATTAGCAGCAAAAATTTCCGTTTCTGTGGATTTTTATAGCTCGTTTATGCAAAGAACTAGAATTTTGTGCTTTTTTTTGTGAGAACTGAGATATGCATAACGTATTCTAAAACACTTTATTGTGTGATTTTCACTAGACAGTTTTACAAAAACGCAACACGTGTTTCGCCATACAATGGCTTCTTCTAAAAGACGATTTGAATATGTTGAACTTGTTTGAAACTTTCTATGTTTTTTACCACTTTTAGTTGTTACTAACATTACTGCAGTTTTGTCTTATAAGGACATTTTCGAACTTATGCAATAAACTAAAAATAATTGATTACATTAGCCCTTATATAACACCACTGTAAGTAATAATAAAGGTACTTAGCTTAATTGAGTACTTCATTTTTTTATTTTCTACTACTCCATCTGATACAAAAAAAATGGATGAGAGAATCTTCCAAAGAAAGGAAGGAAGTAATCAATCAGATTTCTCCAACTTGTCCACTTTCTCTTTGGCATTGAAAAAGAAATCAGATAACCTGGCATGTGGTCATGAATGCCACATCCACATTGTTTTTTCTGAAGAAACTTGCAATTATCTCTGTTCTTTTACCAAAATACATTAGAATTACCAATTTCTTGATTACTGATTGTTTGATCTGGGGTATATTAATCTGTAAGTGAATTTACGGCTTTGTTTTCTGACTAACTTCTGGATTGTATCTGCGTTAAAACCATTATTATGGCCTATCTGTGTAATGAGCCTTTTTCCTGAGAATAGTACAGCGAACGTGTCACGAGAGGCAGCACTAGTAGTAGGAACAAACATAAACCATTTATATGTTAGTGTTATTTACGTAATATTAATTTATTATTTAAAAATATAAATCTGACAAATCCATCAATTTATTGAACTTGTTTTCTTATTTACATAGTCCATATGATGGTCCTGATTTCGATTTCTAAGTGTTCTGCCAGTGTGACCAATAAATACCTTAGGACACGTTCCTAATTTATTTACTCCTGATTTTTCGAATAACGATGTTCTGTCTTTGTTATTTCCAACTAACTTTTCCAACGTATTACCTATTCTATATGATATTCTGTTGTTTGTTCAAAATATGTTAAAGCTCTATAATTTTGATTTTCATTATCTAACTTGTCAATAGGAAAAAAGTCTCGAATCGCTTTCGCGTAGACTAATTTGGAAAGTATTTTGTCTATTAATTCAGCTTTAATTCTGTTGTTTACTGCAATTTGTTTGATGATATTGAGTTCTTTTTTGAAATTATCTATTGAAAGAGGAACATTGACTAATTTGATATTTTCAGTATAGAGTTCTGAATAGTTTTCAAATTTTTTAATGCATTATTGTATGATCCTCCTCATATTACTATACAGTATCTAAATAATGGTTTAATCAAAGATGTATTTGTAAGAATAAGGTTTCCATTGTCTAAAATGTATCTGAAAATATAAAATTTTCGAATTAATTGCCTTTTCTTGTTGTTTACATATTTTGCATGCTTCTATTTGAGGTGTTGATCGACAACTACGCCAAGATATTTTTTTGTTTCGTTTTTTTCTAATAGATGGACAGTTGCATTTTGGTTCAGATCATTGTCTGTATGAAGCATAATATTATTTCTGTTTGGTTGTATGAGACATTTGTAAAGAATGTTATACATTTACTTCAGTATCAGGTATCAGTAAAAAAAATTGCTGTACCATCAGCATATGAAACAAGGCGTCCTCAAAAATCTTTAATTTTTGCTATCGAGTTGATATACACAAGCAAAATAATTGGGCCTAGAACTGTTCCCTGCGGTACACCTGTTGTTATTTCAAGAGGTGTGCTGCAAATGTGACCAATTTTCACTCTCTGATATGTGTGTTTTATATAGTTTACTGAAATGTTCCATTCTGGACCGTGAATACCTGTCTCATTCTGTTTTTCTATCAGTATTTCGTGAAACACTGTATCAAAGGCTTTCGCTAAGTCGAGAAATATAAATTAACATTGAACAGACATATATTTTATATATTTGTGTGTACTACCAGCTAAAAAATCAGTGCCTGAGTAGAATTTCACTCCGATATCATCATCTGTACTTGTGATCGCAGATGAAAAGATCATCTTCTTTTCTTAGTTTTTACAAGCCGTTTGAAGGTTATTGTAGGATCAGCTGGTTAGTGGGGAAATTATTTTTGAACTGAAAAAATACAATTGTTCGGTTGTTAGATAGGTATTTGTCTCACTAATGGAACCTTTAGACTCTTTATAAATTTTAAAAATCCAAAACATAAAAAACATGTCAAAGCCACTGATATATCATAAATCTATTATCATTTCATGTTACAGCCAGCAAATTGGTATTACCAGCAGATGATGGGAACTCAACTTTTCAACCTAGGTTGATGTATCTTCAAAACCAATTGATTTTGATAGGATAGTCATTGATAATCTTAAAATGGAGTATTATTAGGTTGCCCAACTACAATAACTAATTTTGAAGAACAAAACTAATAAAACAGTAAATAGGACTGTTTGAAGTACCAATCTTAGTGAAGCAATGTTCTTACATTTCTAGTTGATATTTATTATTTTTCGAAGGTGGTGTAATTAAGCATTCCACGATGCCCTGGTTGCACTTCAATATTTACTCATACTGTCATCAGAATCTCAGCCAGGAAAAGAAACCAAACCATGAAATGAACTAACTGACAAAGCTGTTTGGGATGAATGTTGAGCTATAATTCTAAGAGAAAAGTTAAGACTTGGAATGTTGAAAACTGAATTGCATGTTTCTAATATTTTTTGTAAATGTCATATTAACTGATGTTTCTGATGTGTTTTCAACAAGTTTCATCGGTATTGATAGTTTGAAATTGTTTTCTATTACCATAACCTATACAATCGTGTAATGATGAAATGCTATATTGAAGGAGCCTTCATTTCTTTTCTGATATAATATGAAGGTAAACTGTCAAGGATCAGATAAATGATGACAAAGCAGTTAGTTCTTTCTCTCCCACGTAACCTTTTCCAAATGAAAGAGATTATACAAATAAGGGGTTCAAGGTTTAGATAATAATCAATCACGAACCGATACCATAATTATTAATGAAACTAGACAACTGGAACAATCATTTTTTCACTTAATAATGTATATTATGTTGCTTTGATGACTTGTTTGCGTTCGAGAAAATATTATGAAGAATTGACCTCCAGCCTTGACTTCACTGCACAACAAAAAAACTTCACCAAACAACAACCAATAAAAAAAGCAACTAATACGTCATAGTGGTGGGGGGAGGCCGAGAATCAGCTGTAAACAACTACTTACGGGTCTAGAAAAAGGGTTTTACAAAAACCGCTACACATGTTTCTCTGGGTTCTCTCACGAAACACGTGTCGCGGTTTTTGTAAAACCCTTTTTAGGGAAAATCATACAATAAACTGTATAATTTAGCTTTTTCATTATGGATTTTCATCAAGTATCGGCCAGTTCTATTCAATGTCTCAATGCAGAACCTATTTCAACACTCTGCAATCTATGTTTCATTAACGGAATTTTTTCTGACATCTTTAAAAAATCCAAAATTATCCCAATTCACAAGAAAGGGAATGTAAACTCACCTGAAAACCATCGTCCTATATCAATTATTCCTATAATTGGAAATATTATAGAGATTATCGTCAAGAAGAGACTGGCGAAATATTTTGAAGAAAATAAATTTCTGAATGAAAATCAGTATGGTTTTAGGCAGAACCGATCTACCACCCACGTCGTAACGAAACTGGTGAGCGATGTGATCGATGCTTTTGAGAGAGGTGAACACACTATATGTACTCTATGTGACCCAAGTAATGCTTTTGACTGCACCTCGCATCAGGTATTATTACAGAAATTGGAATATTATGGTGTCAGAGGAATTGCTTACAAATTTTTTTTAATCATATTTAACTCAACGAGTTCAGGCGGTTTTTCATGGTTCAACACTATCCTCTAGTCAGGAAATTACTTGTGGTGTACCTCAAGGTTCAGTTCCGGGGCCACTTCTTTTCATTATTTACATTAATGATATATTTGAACATCTTCATTACATTGATGGTATTTTATTCGCAGACGATGCTACATTTTATCATTCCGATTCAAATTTAATAAATTTGAAAGAAAAAAACTTGTCAGTTTTGTCAAAACCTTAGACCAGTCCCTCAAGTGGACAGAACATATTGACTGCCTAGCAAAAAAACTATCTAGTCAGCTATTTTTGCTAAGGAAACTCAAAAAATCAGTTAGTCCGGATATGCTTCTGATCTCATATTTCTCATTATTACATTCTCATGTATCCTATGGAACTGTGTTATGGGGCAACTCTACACATGCTCATCGAATCATGACATTACAGAAACGTGCTGTAAGAATAGTTGCCGGTTTAGGTCTTCAGGATTCTTGCCGAAATTACTTTCAAAAACTCAACATATCAACAGTTCCTTCTATTTATATTCATTTGAGTTTAATGAAGATTCACAAAAATTGCCATACATATCCTAGAAGTGACACAAATCATACATATAATACTAGGCATGGTTCTTCTAAATAAAATATCTAGATTAGAGAATTAATCTCGAAACAGTTTAAATTTGAACCTTTATAATTTTTTGCCAGAGTACTATAAAAATTTGAGTTATGCCGAATTTAAATTCAAGATAAAAAAACTCTCAATAGCTCACAGTCTCTACACAGTGAACGAATATTTTCAGATACCGACTATATGTTGACGCAATCCAGCCATATAAAT